TAACTTAGTTGACGAACGTCGTTTCCGCCGTCGCGAGCCCGAGAACTTTGAACGTGACGAGTATGGTCGGGTATGTCTGTCTGTCCACTAGGGCAAAAATGTCGCTAACTAGGAACAGCGCAAGTGGCCCGAAGAGAAGATCTCCGTAGGTCTGGAGCCTATTAGTGGCTTTAATTTGCGAGCACAGGTTGTCGGTCGCGGTGGCGACAATGTCAAGTTTATCCAACAGGAGACAGGCTGCAAGGTGCAAATCAAGGGTCGCGGTTCTGGTTTCATGGAGCCCAACTCCGGCCAAGAGAGCGATGAGCCCATGTACCTCCACATTGCGTAGGTGCCATCTTGCTGTCATATATATATGTGCTGACAAGACGTAGCGGACCCCGCCCTGAAGGCGTAGCCCAAGCGAAGCAGCTTTGCGAAGAGCTGCTCGACAAGGTAAAGACAGACTACCATGCTTTCAAGGACCGCCCTGCGTCAGCTCGATATGGTGACCGCGACGGTTACTCGGGTGGCCGACCAGGATACGGCGACCGCGGCGATCGTGGCGACCGTGGCAGAAGCGAAAGCTATGGTTATGGAGGCGCTGGTGGCTATGGCGGCTATGGCGGGCATGGTGGGCAAGGAGGCCACAATGGCTATGGTGCCCTCGAGAGCCACATGTCACCAGCTGCCGCAACGCCAACTGCAGACGCGAACAACCAGGCCTTTGACGCGAATGCTGCCCAAGCATGGATTGCATACTACCAGCAAAACCCTGATCAAGACCCCTATGTCCAATATGGTGGTTACCAAGCATATCTTACCATGCAGCAGCAGCAGTATGCGGCTTACTATGCTCAGGCCGGTTATGGACAAACTCAGTCGCCTGCTCCAGGGGCCAGTGCCGCTGCACCACCTCCACCACCACCTTCCGAGCCTGCATCGGCTGGCTATAGTGCTCCCCCGCCACCACCTCCGCCTGCTGCTTCGCCTTCAAACTACGGCGCGGTACGTATATATTGTGAGCACAAGATGGTCTCAGCTGACGTGCCATTAGGTCCCTCCACCGCCCGGCTTGTAAGTGTCAAGCAACGACTATGATTGAGCACTTACGACAGCCTCTCATCTTGACTTGATTGATTGAGCACAGTTCGAACAAACTCTCCTGTAATGATTTGCAGCATGTCTGGTGGCGTTAGAAATAATACCTGTCGCTTCGGCGAGCTTGCTTGGTTGCTGTTGAGCCACGTCTCTGCTGGCGGTCGGGTATAGTATTAGTCTGTCCGAATGGACTTAGTACTCCCATTAGGATACCAATGTTAGTGTTTTCTTAAAAGTGCTTGACACTGTGACAAATCTGTGAACGCAATTTACGTACGAGAATTCATGAGGCAGCAATTGATGCTATTTCTCTGTAAGCAGCATTCTCTGTAAGCAGCATTCTCTGAGTCTCATAGACACTAGAATCGATCTGACGACTAAATTCGCAATCTTTCAAGTCCGCTGCTCTCTGGGCACATCTTTTTTTGTGATGACGTCCACATGCTTTGTGATTGGATAGAGGCTGTAGGGGTTCTCCACACGAGAGGCGTTAACGTTCGCGTCCCTGACCCTAGTAACCCCGGTACGTGCAGACTTGCGGAGCGATGTCGCTGGAGATAATTTGTGCGAATGTGCACCTGTCCTTCCCCATTGTGCTGACGCCACCAGACAAGCCTCAGGATGCGGTCGCAAATAATCTGTGCCGGTCAGGCGGCCAAGTACAGGGTGAGTCTATCATCTCCTAGAGAAAAATATACAGAATCCGGCAAAAGTACAGCACTTGAACAGTCATACTTGAGCATCTACAGTGAAAATCAGCCAATGTACATGACAGAACACTGACAGCGTCCAAGCCTCACCTACTCTCCTCGCTTCGTCAATCCGCCCTACAACCTCGAAGATGTCTAGCTACGACTCATGACCTGCCCAAGGCTCGCAATGTTGACATTGCCTCGCGCACCCCACCATATGCCAAACTACTCTCTCGCCTGGAGGAAGTACGACGCGTGCTTGGCTCCTCACGCCAATTGACCTTGGCTGAAAAGATATTGTATTCGCATCTCGAGAACCCCGAGGAGTCGCTCTTGAGCAACACAAATGGCGGGAGAGATATCAGAGGCCAGGCAAACTTGAAGTTGAAGCCCGACCGTGTGGCAATGCAGGACGCTAGTGCACAGATGGCTCTGCTGCAGTTCATGAGCTGTGGACTTCCGACAACGGCGGTCCCAGCAAGTATACATTGCGACCATCTTATTGTCGTAAGTATCATTTTGTCCTTTTGCCTTGATCGTAGAACCTTGATACTGATACACTGCCGATAGGGCGAAAAAGGTGCCGAAGCCGATCTTCCACAATCTATTGCGGGAAATAGCGAGATTTTCGATTTTTTGGAGTCGGCGGCAAAGAAATATGGAATCGAGTTTTGGCCACCGGGTGCCGGTATCATCCACCAAACCGTGCTGGAAAACTACAGTGCACCAGGTGTAATGATTCTGGGAACTGACAGCCACTCCCCGAATGCTGGCGGGCTTGGCTCCATTACCATTGGTGTGGGCGGTGCAGACGCAGTAGATGCTCTAGTAGATGCGCCATGGGAGCTCAAGGCACCCAAAGTCCTGGGCGTCAAGCTCACTGGAGAGCTCAGTGGATGGGCTTCTCCAAAGGACGTGATTCTGAACTTGGCTGGTCAGCTCACAGTCCGGGTATGTGGCATCGAGGGTTGTGTAGTGATTCATGCTAATAAATTCACAGGGTGGTACTGGCTACATTATTGAATACTTTGGCCCTGGAGTACAGTCTTTGAGCTGCACTGGTATGGCTACTATCTGGTGAGAGCATAGTTCCCTAATGTTTCGGAATTGTGACTAACAAGAATAGCAACATGGGTGCTGAAGTCGGCGCAACTACATCGCTCTTCCCCTTCTCTCCAGCACATGTTCCTTACCTACAGGCCACACATCGTGGATCCATTGCTGAAGCAGCTACCAAGATCTCTCAATCGCCAATGCACCAAAACCTCTTGCGATCCGACCCAGATGCCGTCTATGACAAGGTTATTGAAATCAACCTCTCAGAGCTGGAACCCCATATCAACGGACCCTTCACCCCCGACCTATCAACACCTCTCTCCAAGTTCAAAACCGTAGTGGAAGAAAAGGGATGGCCAAAGACATTTGGTGCAGGTCTCATTGGCAGCTGCACAAACAGTTCTTACCAGGATATGACCCGTTCAGAAGAGATTGTGAAGCAGGCGTCAGCTGCGGGCCTCAAGCCGAAGGCTGACTTCTTCATCACACCAGGCAGTGAACAAATCCGAGCAACATTGGACCGAGACAACACTCTATCTACTTTTACTTCGGCAGGAGGTACTGTTCTGGCGAACGCTTGCGGGTGAGTTATCTCAACACCTTTCTGTAAAAAAAAAAAGGAATTCGCAATACTGACATACTCAATGACCCTGCATTGGTCAGTGGAAGCGCACAGACGAGGTCAAGAAGGGAGAGTCCAATGCTATCTTCACATCTTACAACCGCAACTTTCCCGGTCGTAATGACGGCAACCGTGCGACAATGAACTTCCTCGCATCCCCTGAACTCATTACTGCCATGGCATACTCTGGTTCCACAACCTTCAACCCCATGACCGACAGCATCCCCACGCCATCTGGTGAGCCTTTCAAGTTTGCGCCACCAAAGGGCTCTGATCTGCCTTCTGAGGGATTCGCAGATGGTAACCCCGATTTTATGCCCACACCAGGTGTACCTGACCCGAACGTCGAGGTCGTTGTATCGCCTACCTCTAGCCGTCTGGCACTGCTCGACCCCTTCCCAGCATTCCCTGACTCTGATTTTACAGGGCTTCGCGTCCTCTACAAAGTCAAGGGACAGTGTACAACAGACACCATCTCTGCAGCAGGCCCATGGCTCAAGTACAAGGGCCATCTGCCCAACATTTCTGAGAACACACTGATCGGTGCAGTCAATGCGGAAACAGACGAAGTCAATGTTGCTTATGACGTGGATGGTAAGAAATCTGGTATTCCCGAGTTGGCAAAGAGGTGGCGCGACCAAGGTATTGAATGGCTCGTCGTGGCAGAGCACAACTACGGTGAAGGCTCTGCACGTGAGCACGCTGCTCTGCAGCCGCGTTACCTAGGAGGACGCATCATCCTCGCCAAGTCTTTTGCCCGAATCCACGAGACCAACCTCAAGAAGCAAGGTATCGTACCTCTGACATTCGCAAACGAGGCCGACTACGACGCCTTTGCGGCTTGCGACCAAGTTGCCACAAGGGGGCTGTTGGATGTATTGAGGAGTGGTGGCAAGGGAGAAGTTGAGTTGGTTCTCAAGAAGCAGGATGGCAGCGAGAAGGTGGTTAAGACCAAGCATACGCTCTCGCAAGACCAGTGTGGCTTCATCCTTGCTGGCAGCGCGCTCAACCTTTTGGCGAGGAAGGGAAGAGAGATGAAGGAAGAAATTACTAGGAGTGCCGAATTGACTGACTAGAAGTCAGTTGACTGGATAGAGACAACAACGACGATTAAAATCTAAAAAGGAAACGGCGCATGGCGCTGGTGGTGTATAGTTCCCGGGTATTTTAGCAATCAATGGCAATCCAGACGTGTATTGAATAGCTGCTTCATGATTTGTGGTTTCCTCATTGCTATCTTGGATTCTCGAGGAGTTTTACTGTAAAACCTAGAACTTGAATGATTTCACCGACTTCCCCGAAAAGGCCCACTAGTAATGCCGGGTCACGTGGGGAGGTGTATCAGCTTCAGATGTCTCACCTCGTGTTTCCTTCCTAGATCAATCAACACGCCATGAGAGACTTGTTAACCACCACATGAGCCAATTGTGGGGCCACAATCAAAATGCTCTATAAAATCAGTTAGTATCGTATGGCAATGCGCCGCCGCTGAAGTCATTGAGAAGAACTTTTGTCGGCAATCAGGATTCTTCGTTGAAGATTTCGCTACAATGGCAACGAAACCACGTGCCATAACGGTAAAGGGACTGCAGTCACTCCTTGTACGCATCGGTTTAGCATCGTCAGGAACCAAGGCAATCCTCGAGGGACGCTTTCGGCACAACTTCACCAAACCCCGTCTCTTTGCTCGTCATCCAGAATGGGAAGCCTCGCGGCCTACAGACCAAAAACTCCGCATTATGAGCATCGACATGGGTATCAAGAATCTAGCTTTCTGCGAGGCTGAAGTCTCATACCCGGTGAAAGATGGTCTGAATGCGAAGATGGATATCTTGAGGTGGGAAAGGGTGGATCTTGCTTCTACAAGACATCAAGGCGCAACCGAAAGCAGCCAACCAGACACGACCAGACTGAATGACGCGGAAGCGGGCGCAAATGAAGAAGTGGATCCTTATTCCCTGGATACTTTGTCTAAAACTGCGTACAAGCTTATCAAGGAAACGATACTATCTGGGTCTCCGGATGTCATCTTGATCGAAAAGCAGAGGTGGCGATCAGGTGGTGGTAGCGCGGTACAGCAGTGGACGCTTCGCGTGAACACATTGGAAGGCATGCTATGGGCCGTGCTGGAAACAATACAGAATGAGACAGACGCTACCCAGACAAACAAGGAAAAGAAGAATCTATACGACGTTTTTGCCGTAGATCCAAAGCGCGTAGGACACTACTGGCTTGGACAAAATGACCAGCGTCTTGCCACGGACGAAGCTACTTCCTCACCCGCAAAAGACATTCAAAACGAAGCGGAAGACCAGCCCACACTCAGCCGCTCCAAAGCCGAAAAGAAGGCTAAAATCTCTCTCCTGCGCTCCTGGCTCACTGCATCTCCACCCTCGACCTCACCCACAGTCACCAAATCAACACCCCCAATCTCCTTTGTAATCAGCAATCACGCACAGCCGGCCTACCGCGCCCTCTGCTTCCCCCGCCGCAAGAAGCAGAATAGCGAGTTCAAGGATGCAGAGAGCGTAATCGGCGATATCTCCGGATCCGAAATGAAGAAGCTGGACGATGTCACTGATTGCTTTCTCCAAGCTGCGGCTTGGGTGAGCTGGGAGTCGAATCGCCAGCAGCTATGCGATATTTGGAGGAGGAACGTGAGACGGGATGGCAGTTTGATGGATGAGAATGAAGTGGATTTGAGTGAATTGAATAATGATCGGTTGCTGGAGATGTGGGACGAGGTTGAAGGGTAATGGAGGTTAATGGGTTAATGGGGGTTAATGGGGGGAAGGGTTGCGTTGTCACTATTCCTCTTTTGCTCTTGTTTATTGTACTGGTAGCAGGGCTGCTGCACAAAGGACAAATTCAATACAACTTTTCCCTCTCTTGATTTGAAGGCGACAAAAAATAAAAGTAGTAGGCCGACAAAGCTGGCTCTGAATACAAAGGTTCCCATAGTTGATAGTGTCAAGCACTTGTACTACCCGCAACCCACAAGATTGCCCCGCTTTCCGCTCCTCACAACAATGACGTGTCTAGCCCCTTGCACGCAGCCCCGCCATCCTCAACCATGGCACCGAAAACTTCCAACTTCGCAGTCGCAAATCGTTTACGTCCAAATTTTATCCCTTGATACATCAGATGGATAATTTCAAAATTTTCACAGATGTTCACAAAACTTGTTTTCAGCAAGTCTCGGTGGCGCAATGGTAGCGCGTTGGACTTCTATTTCTAAGCTCTGTAAATTTGCTTTATCCGGTTATCCAAAGGCTGCGGGTTCGAGCCCCGCCCGAGATGCTTTTTGCTTTTGTTTTTGGTCCTTTGCTTTTTGCGCCGCCTACCTTCTCTGCATAGTATCTTGGTGATGCTATCAGCAGGATGGGCGACTGGTGATTTTTTTAACATTGAGAGAGAGGGCGTATAGGATAATAGAATGGAACAATATTTATTTGCTTGTATTGGATATAAATATGTGCGTGTATGTATATATGTTTATGATGAGTGGGAATCAAAATACTTCAAGTCCTTGTAGGAACACCAAACGCTAGATACTCATGTACCTTCAAACCCCCAAATACACCCACCCTCTTTCCTCGATCTCTCTCACACACACACTCTCTCTCCCTTTTATTTTTTTCGTCCTCTCTCAACCCTCACAAATCAGATCAAACTCCGGGAAATCGGGATCGGGTCCAATATTCGTACTCGCAACCGCAGACGTGAAATCCTTGACTTTGGCATTCTTTTGCGCATCGAGGCATTTATCTGTATTTTTTTTCAAACGTTGTTAGCCCTAGTTTTAAAAGGAAGAGAAAGAGAGAGAGAGAGAGAAACAAAAAGAGGAAAATACTAACTCTTCTGCTCATCACAATCATTCACCTTCAACCCACCCTCTTTCCCGCCACCACCGCCATTCCGATTTGCCTCGCGACTACAACCCTGAAACTGGTCGTCACAACTCCTCTGCGCTGCAGTGTCGAAATCGGGAAATGTGCTTCCCTCGACTTCAAAGGGGCGGTCTTCTTTCCCGGAGTTGGTGATCGGGGGTGCGGGCGTGTTGCCGAGTTTGCCGTCAAAGGTCTGGAGGTTGGAGAGTTGGCGCAGAAAGAGGGTGTGTCGCGGTATTAGGGACATGTCGGCTGTGGAGGAGAGGAGAGGGGGTTGGGGCGAGGCGTGTGAGAGGGCGGGAAGGGCGAGATGGAGGAGGGTTAGGAGGGCGGAGGGGAGGAGGAGCATGGTTGTGGTTGTGGGTGGATTGTATTATAGTCGTGAAGAGTGTCGGTTGGTCGTGGTGGAGGTTGGGTATAAGCTATCGAGATTGTATTCGGTCCAGACAAGTATTATGATTATCGACCGTTATACGTCCTCTCCCCGGTGTAATGTTTCCAGGCGGTATGGTATCGTGGAATTCTTTCAAAAGATCGTCCCGGTATAATATCCAGCCCAGGCCCCAACTGTCCAGCAGTCTCTTTTCAGTCGCACCAAGGAAAATCGACAGGTTAAACGAGAGAAAGAAAGAAAACAACGAAACAAAGAGAAACCTGAAAAATGGGCAACAAGACTCAGTCTGTGTTTCCAAAACAGGTTCGAGTCCACCTCTTTCTCATCCACAAAGTGATACCTACGACGTAGCGTCCGACTAAGCGCGTTGCGCGTGGGCGGGGCACTCATACTTATTTACTAGCTGTTTGCTAGGTTGTTCCAAAGGGCGAGGCAAGTGGCTGCGCGATGACAGCCTTATTCCGTCTTGTTGTAATGCGAGCAGGGGAAACGGCGTGTCGCCGATGCACGCTGCGACGGTGCTGAAACGCCATCACACGACCATTTGGTGTGACACATCCGGGAACCCGCAAAGGATTTAAGTGGAGATTAGGCTATAGGGGAATGGGAAAACAAACAAAAAACGCATCAACATATCGACGTAATCCAACACGGGACAAGGAAGCCATGGTCAAGGTATATGTAATTACATTCGCTATTGTGGGGGTATGATGATATAATAAACAGTCGCATAGAACTCGCACGCTCCATTACAAACTTTTCTTGAAACCAGCATAGAATGCAAGTGCAGACAATGCAAACAGAAGGAATTGAGTAGACAAAAGAGTTTTGCAACGTCTTTTGGTGTGATGTTTGTTGTTAGTATATACTACCCATTGGTGATGACTGCACACACTGAGCTCAAGTAGCTCGTCCGTCTCTTAATGACATTCTACACTATCAACTCCAAGGCGGTGGTAACCCTGCCCGAAAAAAAGGAATTAAAAAAAGAAAAAAGGCTGCGTAGTCAGGGATGATCGTGGCTGGCTGCATAACGTCAAAGGAATAAAAGTTATTAAAACCGCCATAGTATTGTATGTACAAGCCAGTATATGGCTCAGTACTCGAGATGGCATCCGATTCAGATAAACCCCGCAAATAGTCGTTGGTATCGTGATGGGCTGTGGTGGTAGGACCGTGTGTTCTTTTTCAAGGCTGCACTTGGCTTAGAAGTTGGCCGCTGCGTTGGGCCGTCCTCCGGGGCTAGAGTACTGGTCCATGTTGGATCCGTAGGGAGTGGACCCTGGGCTGTTCTGCGGCTTGTCACCAAGGGCTGCGCCCGTACCGGCCATGAGGTCATCGTCATCTGCCTGGACACGTGCTTGGCGCTTCTTCATGCGCCAAAAGACAAGGGCAATGCCACCGAGGAGCAGAGCACCTCCGACACCTCCAACGACACCACCAATAATCTTCTTGTCGGAGTCGCTGATGCCTCCGTCACTGCCTTGATTGTTGCCCTGCTGTTCTGTGGGAGCTTCGGTAAAGGTGACTTGTCCCGTGGTGGCGACAGAGGTGCTGGTGCCAGTCGAGACCTGCGTGATTTGCTGGTCGCCGCTCATTGTGACAATGGTGGTGGTGAACTCGCGCAGGGTGGTAGAAAGGAGATCCGAGGTCCTAGTGATAGGTGCGGTCCTAACGGTAGATGGTGAGGAAGTGACGGCAGGTCCGTTTCCAGTCGTGCGTCCTATCGAGGTAGGGCCATTATTGTTGTTGCTGTTGTTGTTGTTGTTGCCGCCATCGCCCCTGGTGGGAGTGGGTGTGGGTGTGTTTGCGGGGACGTCGTTTGAGGTCTGTGGTGGTGGAGAAGGGTTGTTGTTATTGTTGTTGTCGCTGGACGGCTGTGGCTGGGGTGTTGGAGATGCGACCGGTGGCGGTGTTGAGACTGGAGGCTGCGAAGACGGCGATGGCGCAGGCGGTGACGAGGCAGGAGCAGCTGGCGACGAGGCGGCGCCAGTACCCTCAGCTTCTTGTCGCTTGCCGTGGCGCAGATAGTGGTTGACGCCGTCAATGTGCAGGTCCTCGAGGGTAAAAGCCGAGGAAACCGTGGCGAGGGCGAGAAGGGCGCCGGAAAACCACGTCTTTGGTAGCATGTTTGGCGGTTTCGCAGATCAGGACAACGGGAGCGAGCGGATGGGGTGTCAAGACAGCGTGCTTTAATGGCGAGAGTGACGCGTCCCACAGAGGGTGTCTGAGATTTGTAAGTGTTAAAAAGGGAGCCACGGACGGATCAAGGACGACTAGGTACGCGAGCAGAGCGTGTGTGCCTGGAGGGCGGTGTAAGTGGGTACAGGGCCTGGGCTGAACGAGGGAGGGCCGAGAGGGCAATAAGGAGATGAAGGAGCGTGTGGAGGGGATGACGGGTAACGGGTATGCGTCGGGGCGGTGGTGGTGGGAGGGTGGGTGATTAAGCACTACTGTGCTGGGTGCCGGGGTCGGGGTGGGCAGCAAGTGGAGAGAGGGTGGGCAGCCAATTTTAGCTTCAGCCGCGCCAGACCCTGCCTTGGCCTGCCTCTGCCGCAACCACAGCGCCTCACTATGAAAATTTGCTGGGCCCCCAGCCAGCCTGCATCTCGTCCCTGTGAGAGGCAGGAGATAAGCAGCAGAAAAAAAACACAAGCAAAAAGACGTGCAGCCGGGACGGCTGCTGCTATAAAGACAAAAAGGCCGCCTGCTGCCAGACCGCAGACACTGCTGCACCATCGCCAGCCTCTGTTGCTCACCCAGTCACCGGTTCCGCATTTGCCCATTGGCCCGCCGGCGGAACCCGCCCTTGTAGCAAAGCGCAGTGTGTCCGTCTGGTCGTGCGTCATCCTGCCTGGCTAGCATTTTGCAGTCAAGCAAGCCCCCGGCCTGCCGTCGCGAAGATCCTTTGCAGAGTAGTAGCAAAAAGTCGTGGCCGCCAATAACTCGAGCCTCGTCCGTTGTTTCCGCTTTGTTCGTTGTCGCAGCCCGCCCCGTACAGACACTCCGCCGCCCAACCGTCGACGATGCTCGCTGCCGCCATGTCACACAGCCTGTCGCTGACGCCTCACGAGGCCCTCTCGGGTGTCTTCGGCTCAATCTCGCTGGCCTCGTGGATCTTTCTCCTGGTACGTACCAACTTGTTCGCGGTCGAGACCCATCCCCTAACCCCCCTTTCCACGCATGGTGACTTGGGCGTTGTGTGATTGTTGCACGTCGCGTGGCCATGTTGCAGCTGGCCATGTGACTGCCGCAACTGCCTGCGTGCATATATCCACTGTGCTACTATGAATAGAAAGCCGCCCACGCGACCCAATCCATGCATCCATGGATACTGACATGCTCGCCCATTAGGTCCCCCAGCTGCTCGAAAACTACAAGTCGGGCTCTGCAGATGGCATCTCGCTCGCCTTCCTCATCGTCTGGTTCATTGGCGATGTCACCAACCTCGCCGGTGCCCTCTGGGCCGGTCTCGTCCCCACCGTCATCGCCCTCGCAGTCTACTTTTGCTTCGCCGACCTGGTCCTCATCTCGCAATGCCTCTACTACAACATGAAGAACTCGCGTCGCGAGCGCAAGTCGTCCACCCGCTCCACCGATAGCGTCCAGGCGCCTCTGCTCGGCCGCCGCGACAGCAGCAACATTGGCCTCCCAGGTAGCCACAGGCGCGACTCGGCCGCCAGCCGTAGACGCCGCGCCAGCTCCCTGCCCACCATCCCCGACGTCACGACCGCCTCGTCGAGCGAATGGCTCAAGAACGCCCTGAGCATCTTTGGAGTTTGTGCCGTTGGTGCTGCGGGCTGGGCCATTGCCTGGCAGATTGGCGTCTGGGTGCCCCAGCCCACACACGACGACGCAGGCAATGCCTCTGACAGTCCTCTCGGTGCTCAAATCCTCGGCTATGCCAGTGCAGTCTGCTACCTTGGCGCCCGTATCCCCCAGATCATCAAGAACCAGCGTGAAAAATCGTGCGAGGGTCTGTCGCTGCTCTTCTTCATGTTGAGCTTGCTAGGCAATGCTACCTATGGTGCAGGAGTACGTTACCCTTTTGGCCTCATTTCTCTATACACATTTGCGACTAACCACTAACCTCTTCAACAGATCATCTTCCACTCGCAGGAAAAACAATACATCCTCACCAACCTCCCCTGGCTCATCGGCTCCCTCGGCACAATGGTCGAAGACGTAACCATCTTCATCCAATTCCGTGTCTTTGGAACCGGCGAATCCTCATCTGCCCTCGATGCCTAGACTACTCTTCCAGATTTACCACTTGTCATATCTCTCCTTTCTTTTTCCATCTCCATCATTTGCTCATTGCATACAAAAGTTCTTCGTATACTTCCCATGCTTTCAGTTAGCAACCATGGTCGTTTTGTGTCTCTTGCACGATACCCGATTGAGATAAACGCAGCAAAAGAAATCTTGAACAAAAAATTCTTGGGCGCTTGGGTGTTTGTGGACCTAGAAGAGAAGTGGGGGGAAAAAGTTTATTTTTTGTTGTATAATAGTAGTAGAGGAGAAAAAAGAGTGTGGATAAGAGACTTCATCTCACATGTTTAAAAAGATATTCAAAAACCACTCTTTTCACATATATCATCATCAAATTCAAAAGAGCCTATTGCGTACACCCAATCGTTGTATATTGGTATACGTTTCGCCCTCAGTCCAAGCAGTCTATCAGTCCCCCTTAACCCAAGAATGAAGAACAGGAAGACCAAAAAACCCCGATATCAAACCTACCCTTCTACAACGTACACACCTTCTTCTCTTCATCTACTGCGCATTCTCATACTTTTGCTCATGCACACCAATAGCACTACACAACATTAGTCCAGCTTCCAAAAAAAAGGGGAACAAGGGCACTATCTTACCGTCCAGAAGGATCCGTCTGGTTACTCCACGTGGGCGTCCAGCGCATCACCGTATCGGCACAGTAGCTAGGAAAGTGCTCATCAAACATGCAACGGTACCAGTACGCCTCCTTGCTATCCGGGATATCGCTGCCCCACTCAGGCTTGGGGTTCTTCATCATCTCGTCTGTCACATGGAGCTCTGCGTTGTCCTTGAGCGCGTCGATCCAACCGTAGCCAACACCGTCGGAAAACTGCTCTTTTTGGCGCCACAGAATCTTGTCAGGAAGGTATGGCGCCGTCTCTGGTTCGTCGGTTGTGTCAAAGGCTTTGCGGAGAATGTACTTTTCGATTCGGCCCGCTTTGCGGTCAATCATCTTGTCTGCGGGGTCAATGTTCATGGCTGTGTTGAGGAAGTCCTTGTCTAGGAAGGGGACGCGGGCTTCGACACCCCAGGCAGATGTCGACTTGTTGGCGCGCAGGCAGTCGGCGAGATGGAGGTTCTTGACTCGGCGGACACATTCCTGGTGGAAAGCCGCCTTGTCGGGTGCGTTGTGGAAGTATAGGTAGCCGCCAAAGATCTCGTCACTGCCTTCTCCTGAAAGCACCATCTTGACACCCATGGCCTTGATCTTTCGGCTCAGCAGGAACATGGGGGTTGAGGCTCGGATCGTCGTCACGTCAAATGTCTCCAAGTGGTAAATGACATCGGTAAGCGCATTGAGACCATCCTCAATGGTAAAGGTGAAAGTATGGTGTTTTGTTCCCAGAAAGTTTGCCACTTCTTGTGCTGCAATGGCATCGGGGGCGTTGGGCAGACCAATTGAGAACGAGTTGAGTTGTCCCAGGAGGAGATCTGTCTGAAGCTCGTTGGAGTCATCGATTCCCACAAGCTGGCTCTGCTCATCGCTCGCCTTTGCACCAGACGTCGCTGCCTTTTGCCTTATCGCCTCGTTCAACCGCAGAGTCTCGCGCTGTGCTATCGATGCCACAAGACTCGAGTCAAGACCACCAGACAGGAGCACACCGAATGGCACTTCCGCCATCATGCGTTTCCGCACTGCCCGCTCAAACGATTGTCTCAGCTCCTTGTAATCTACTGGTGTGGTGGGAATGTTCTCGGGCTCGACAAGCCACTTGGGGTCGTGATAGCGCGTAAGCGAGTCCGTCTTGGAGTCGTAGACGTGGCCAGGAGGGAATGAAATGATGTTGTCGCATACGGGGTGCAGACACTTGAGCTCAGAAGCAAAGTATACCGCGCCCGGTGTTGTGCTCGACCTGCCCATGTAAAAGGTAGTGACACCAATGGGGTCGCGTGCTGCAATTACACGGTTTTGGGTCTTGTCGTGAAGCACCCAGGAGAACATGCCGTCCAGCTTTCGAGGCGCATCGATGTCATGCTCGAGGTACTGGCATATGTCAGTATTGTCGCCCTTATTCGTGGAGTCTCTAGCCCTACCAACGGAATGATGACCTCACAATCCGAATGTGTCTTGAAGTTGTATGGCTTCTTGAGGGACTTGCGGAGGATACGGTGGTTGTAAATCTCGCCATTGACGGCTAGAGAGACGGTTTCATCGTCATTGACGAGCGGTTGGGCTCCGGTGTCTACTCGTGTAAGCCTTGACTACAATTGTTTGTTTTTGACCGTATGACTGCGTACCAACACCAACAATACTCAAACGCTCGTGAACCAAAACTGCCAGCTGTCAGAATTGCCCAATGACCAAATCATTCCGTAGTTCTTACTAGTGTCGTTCGCTACCCAGTTGCCACCTGCAAAATTTCAGTTATCGTGTTCTCTGGCGCATACAGAAGACGTGGTCACTGACTCCAATCGGGTCCCCGATGTCGGACACTGCGCGCAACCAGTCAATTCATCACTCTCAATTCCAAGCAGGTGCAAACTTACGCCTTGCCCATTTTCAGGGCCGTCGGCTTGAACTTTTGGACATCGGGGTGTCTGTGTAGAAAAAGTTAGTAACGTATCTATAGCACAAGTGAAGTGAAAGATGGGTGCAGAGTGAATTTGGCATACCTATAGCAAGCGAAAATACCACACATGTTTGCAAATATGAGGAAGGAAAGAGAATGTGGGAGTCAGAAGGGAGGAAAAGACGGCTTTATCGCAGTCGAAAAGCTATTGTCAAACCACTGGAGTCATATTAGCCCTCCGGCGGACGGAGCCCCACCATGGCCGCCAACCCGCGCTCACTACACGTCTGCTCGCAGCATGGCGGTGTCCACTATCTATCGCAGGCATGCAAGGACATAGC